AAATCAAGGATGTTTCTTTCAAAAATGCGTGCGAATTTTGAGGAGTTTTCTCAAGTTTTCCATCTCCCCCCCAAAATTCAGACATAATTTTTACCGTGTTGCAGAGAACACGGGCTGCTTTCTTTCCGCATATCGCGTACCAGCCCGTAAGTCGTGAAATGCCCGGAAATGCCTGTATTGATAAGGTTTCCGGAAAATCAGTATCCACAGTCAAGACAAGAGGGCCGTTACAGCAGCGACAGTGGCGTGGCGTTGTGGGGTAGAGCAGAGCACAGCAGAGTGTGGCGGGGCGGGGCCAGTTATCAGCAGTGGCAGTAGCCGAACAGCGGGGGCGGCAGGGTGGTGCAGGCGGTGCAGGCGGCGCGGGGACCGGGCCGGGCCAGCCACAGCATCGTTCTGCGTGTTGACACTGGGCCGGATGGATGTGTACAGTCAGCTCCAGAAGACTGTCGAGCACAGGCCATCGCAAGTGTGTGCGGCTGTGCGGCACGCGTACTAGTCGTACAGTTGCCCATTGCCTTCCTTTGAGAAAGGATTTGCTCAATTTGCGCGTATTCACTGCACTGGAAACAAAAGTGTGCAACATGGTAGTTTTAACTCTAAGGTCAGAGGTACTGGAAATCTTACCACTTTAAAAAGAGTTAAATTTTATGGCCGACCCTGAAGTTAGTTGCACACTTTATTAATCAGCGTTGCGAAGGATACGTCTGCTTTGTAAGCCTGCGAAGGAATTTTATCGCAATTGCAATGGATTTTCTTCGCATCACAAAGGAAATCGTTCAAATTAATTGGTTCGATATTACAAAGCAGCCACAAGGATTACACAGTGCAGAAAACCCCCCACAAAAAACGCGCATACACCTGAGGTTTCGCGCTTCATAGTCGCGTTGCAAATACAAAGTCCAAAATCGTAGTGCGTTTTGTGAAGCATTCATGGCGGGAGCACAAGCGGGGACACCGCCGCTGCAAAAGCTTCCTGCAGTCCATCAAGGACTCGAAGGCCGCTGAGGCCGTCCTCTTCTCCCGCTTAATGGCTCACTCGTTCATGAGCTTTTCCCCCCTTGGAAATAAAAATGCCTGATGAACTAGAGCCGGGCCCCGGGCAAGGGCCGGCCGCCACCTCAACTCCTCAACTCCTGATGAAAATAGCGGGACGGGGGGAAGATTTATCTTCGTATTAGAAATAAGTTGCTCTCTATGTCGGCAACTTTTTAATTATTCTCCGTACAACAAAGTAGTTTCTCTCCATTAGAGAAAAATCCCATTATGCTTGTAATTAACCCCAGCCAGCAAATTTCTCGGTCGGCCGGCCGGCGCGCGCGAGGGGTTGTGGCGTGGCGGGGTGGGGCGGAGCGTGGCGGCGGGGCGAGAGGCTGCGGGGCGGGCGGGCAGAGTTCGGAGCAGCAGTCGCGGACCGGACTCCTCTCCGGTCTGACGTGGCACCGCTAACCCCGACCAGATCTTATTCTTTATTTCTTCGTTCTTTCATGACAGCCGCCAGGCTACTTCCTTGCCGAAAACTGCTTGTGATTCACCACGACGAAATGTTTTAATTCCTTTCCAACATGTTGTTTGATGCAAACGGTTGCAAAAACGTTGTCGTGTCCACGCAGATAAACAGTTCGAAATTGAGAAAGACGCACCAAGCAAACAGAAACCGAGAAACGTAACACAAGAAATTCAGGTAGAATGAAATCATAGAATGTTAACAATTCTAACTATTTATTTGAACTCACGCCTGGTGCGCCTTGCTCCAACTACATCGCTCGCCAAGTCAAGACCGGAGTGCTTCAGGAGGGCCGTGCAGTCGCGTCTCGCTGCAGTCCTGTCCTGCTGCAGTCCAGCAGCTGCTGGGTCCGCGACCGGCGCCCCCCAATCAGGCCCCGCTCATTAAAACTGGACCAGCGGACCGCGAATGAGAGACCCGAACGCGGCAACAAGTGAACGGGCCGAGCCGCGCGCGATAGCAATAATATGCCCCCCAAAAACGACACAACGCCCCGCAAAAAAAAAGTAGGGGGCAATGATTTTGGTAATATCCCCGATTCTCGTCCAAAATTAGTGTAGCAAACCATGGAAAAGAAACAGAATCCTAGGAAATCAAGCAGGGGCAGTGTAAGAAACAATTCCAAGCTCTCATCTTCAACGCAAAAAGGGAGATTTTTAATCTAGCACACATTTCATAAAATAGCAGGCAAAAGAACCATTTGAAAGATACCTCAGGGTCTTGAGGTAACCCGCCCCCAGCGCGTGGACCGTAAGCAATAGGACGGTGTGATCATGGTGATCATGCGAAACACTGCCGGTGGTCAAGGTGGGCGTCCCCCGCCGTGACGTGCCGGTCGGGCAGTGTCGGCGGCCTGGCCCACGCCCCACCGCAACTAGCGCCCCGCGGGCCAAATCCAATCCGCCATTCGGGGACAATTTTTGTGCTAATTATTCATCGTGCCCATTGGAGAGGAATTCTCATTATGTTAGTAATTAAACTTGGGCGCGCGCGGCGGCCGGGCCCGGAGTAGGGGTAGCG